AAGAGGGGACAGGAAAGCTGCTGATAGGGAACCCAAGGTTGAGAAGGGACAGTGTTGACATGTCATGGAGTTGTTAACCATTGTCATAGGTCAATATGTGTATTAACTGTTTAGTGATAAACCATATGTTCTGCAAACCTTCATCTAAGGTACAAAAAAAAAAAAAAAAATTACTATGTGAGATCAAATTGACAACAGCAACTCAAAAGGCTTGATGGGAAGCCTAGGGGACAGTAAGCTGAAGATAATGGTGATGGAATAATTTGGAAAAAAAAAAAAAAAAAAGAATTACTATGTGAGATCAAATTGACAATAGCAACTCAAAAGGCTTGATGGGAAGCCTAGGGGACAGTAAGCTGAAGATAATGGTGATGGAATAATTTGGAAAACGACAGTGAGAACAGCAGCACAACTGGAAGAACGTAATCGATGTCACTGAATTGTACATGTAGAAATTTTTGAGATGTTGTGTCTTTGGCTATGTATACTTTCAACAAAAAAGAAAAAAGGTCCTTCAAGGTCGAGAAGGAGAGTTTTGACATGTTGTGGGTTTGTTAACCAGTCATAAAACAATATGCATGCTGACTGTGTAATGAGAAACTATTTGTTCTGTAAACCTTCACCTAAAGTGCAATTAAAAAAAAAAAATTAAAATCACATTTAAAACAATTCTTTAAAAAATTCTAAAAGACATTTAATTGCTCAAAGTGCTCAGATTACAAGTTTCAGTTGTACTGTATTTTACATATTATATTCATGTAAACATTTAATGAGTTACAACAAGTTATTGTTTTATTTCCCTGATAATTTCTTGTATTTGGGCACCAAGGCCAGCCCTTAACAACTTAAGAGAAATTAGTTTGGATTCTGAAATATGCAACTATTATAAAAATGTGACCTGGTAACTGAACATTTGCAAAATAAAAGCACTATATACATACATGTATATGTAGCATTTTCAAAATTAAAAAAAAAAACAAAACTAGAATACAAGGTCACATAAAGTTTTATAACCACTTTGATTTATATAATCAGGTTCTGACTGCTGGATATGTAGGTTACTTACAAATTTTTCTGGACATTTCCAAATAATTAGTTGAAAATAAGTTACAAATTCAAAGTAAAAATATCCAAAAATCAACAAGTTCTAAAAAATGAATAACAAGTTTAAAGGTGGCAAAACGAACCCATAGTTTATGAGAAACTCCAAGATTAAAAAAACCCACCTATTTATTCATTTCTTTACAACCAAATTTCTTTAAAACTAAATTATCCTTTGACTAAACTGCTGTCTCAGCATCTTTCCTTCAACCAAATTACTTTGAGCTGATACTCCAGGTAAACTCATCAGTATACAAAAATGAAATAATATTGGCTAACTGATGTTTCAGCTTCACCATTAACTGGTGACCTCAGGCAAGTCTTTAACTTCTCCCAGATTCTAGATTTATAGAATGAGGAGGCTGGACCACATTACTGAGAATGAAGTCTTTTGCAGCTTTGATAGTATGGTACAGCTTTAACAGTATGAAGTATAGAGCCTTCTTGTAATGTGCTGGATGGCCAATTCGGTGAGTCTTCCTGTATTATATTGCTTAGAGAACAGCACAGTTACAGGTTTATAAAATATAGCTAAATAAAACACTTCAAAAAAAAGTTACAGGTATAAGTGACTTTTAAAAATATGATTTCAAAAGGTGAAATTTAAGAACAATAACCTCAGGAATTTTCTGATTCCATACTGCACTATAATAACTTAAATCTTTTTGTTTTTCTCTCCCACTTACCATAGTGGCCTAAACAATGACCTACAGAGTAAATTTTACAATTTTTTTGAATGAGTGTAATTTGGATTTTCTTTCTTTGTATCTAAGAACTTCAGCTGTTAATTGTAAAATGACACTTGTCCTCATTCTTTCATTAGGCATATAAAGAAATACTTGGGATAAAACAAAAATCCAATTATTGGATTGAATTTTGTGAATATTTCAGAAATGCCCAGTATGAAGTTCTCAATGACTATAACATAACTTGCTTCATGATTAAGTTTTACTCTTACCGTCTGTGCTGGGTTACCCCAGCTGTTAAAATGGTCTTACACAGCTGCTCACCAAGAATTTAGTTTGGTGATTATTTATACATTGTTACACCTTTTAGTCAACTATGACAAAAATGACATAGTAATTACAGGTATTTCAGTCATGCAAAAATCTCACGTGATGATGGAGTAAGTGACTTAAAGCAACCTGATTTTCTACAATTCTCGAAATAAAATTTAAATTTAAGGGAAAACAAAAACTGCTTTAATATCAAGATTTTAAGATACGGCATTTAAGTAACTTCTATAAATAAATTTAGACAAACAGATTACACACTTTTCAGTTAAAATAAATTACTTATTACTTATCAATAATTTATTTCTCCTATAAAAATTCTGTTGGAGGCTAGGAAGTCATAAATAAGGACATAATACTAGTAATTCTTAAAGCATAAGTAATGTAGGTGCCTTTTCTATATAGATTAAAAAAATTAAACTAAAACTAAATTAAGCTGTAATGCAGGAAGCCCAACAAACTGACAGTTTAACACATTATAGAATTTACCCTATGAAAAATAAAAAGCTGAGCCTATGAAAGTGTAAAATATCTGATGGAGAGTTGACATTAAGAAAGTAAAATGGGGGGGAGTGATAATTATGTCTCCTACACTGTTGAGTTTCTGCTGCAATTATAAATTAGTTTAAAAATCAAAATCCATTATTTTGAGTAGGATGAACACAATTTGTATAATTCTTAGTAACATGCTATGAAAGCATGAGACTTATTAATATTTACTGAAAATGCTTTAGCATAGAAATTAAGTATAGCATTCCTTTATGAATAGAAAATATTTTAAATACAGAATTAAGTTATAGAAAATACATATTTAGAATTTCATTCTTGGATGGGCTGGTAGTGGAGATACCGTCCGCTTTTTACATTGTCAAAATTACATGCTGAACAAAATACATGACCCGTTAAACATGAACATTAATTTTATAGCTGAAGTTTAAATTTAACTGAGTTTTCATTCTTTCCAATAAGTAAAACACTAACTGGCTATCAGGAAAGATTAAAAACAAACAAAACTCAATCCCTATACTTCCGGAGCATGCCTGAAACAGAAAGATCTTGGGATAGAAGGCCAGGTCTAGGAGATAGATATTACAGCTATAGGGCTCGGAAAGTATAAATGTATTATTTCAGATTGGGACAATGACGTGGGGGAAGGATTAAACAATTGACAGAGTTCCTAGCTGATTGGGCTTTATTTCACTTAATCATCACAATAGGACTGTGAGGTATCATTATTCTAAGTTTTATAGAAGTAAGTTGAGGTTCAGAAAGGCTTAAAAATTTGCCTAAGGTAACTACAGCTGCCAATCAATCAGTGGAGTTGAGATTTTAACCCCGGTATAAAGAGCTTGGCTGCTACCCGAAAGGCTGGCAGTTCAAATCTACCAGTTGCTCCTTGGAAACCCTATGGGGCGGTTCCACTCTGTCATTTAGGGTCGCTCTGAGTCAGAATTGACTCGACAGCAATGGGTTTGGATTTGGAGCCCTGGTGGCGCAGTTGTTATAAGCGTTTGACTGCTAACAGAAAGGATGGCAGTCTGAATCCACCAGGCGCTTCTTGGAAACCCTATGGGGCAGTCCTGCTCTGTCCCATAGGGTCGCTATGAGTCGGAATAGACTTGATGGCAATGGGTTTGGTTTTTTTATTTGGTGGTGCAGCTGCTAACTGAAAGGTTTGCTAGTTCAGAACCACCCAGCTGCTTCAAAGGAAAAAGGCTTGGCGATTTGCTTCCACAAAGATTACAAGCAAGAAATCCCTATGGGGAAGTTCTACTCTGTCAAGTGGGGTCGCTCTGAGTTAGAATCAGCTCGATGGCACCTACGACATGTCTAATTCCTAAGCTCGTGCTTATTAGAACATATATTCTATTCTACAGAATGTTATTTCCTAACCTAGTTGTGTGATTTTCTAACCTAGTTGTCTAGAGACCTTTATTTTTTATTATCTGTGTTTTAGATAAACTGAGTTCTAGATAGCTGAAATAAAGTATTGCATAAAACATTTATATGTGTGGAATCTGTTTTAATGAACCTTAAGTCCAAATTAAAAAAACATATAAACAAAAACAGGAATAGATATAAAGATATCATGAC